GTCAAAAAAGATGCTAATTTAAAAATTCTTGGAAACCATGTTTATTGAAATTAAGGAATGTGACTTATTTTAAATTTAAGCTCAATGTTTTCTTTTTAAAATGATCTGTAATAATCACACCTAATAACCATTTATCAAAGAAATACCTTCTTGAACAACAAAATTCAACAGCACCACTTTTCACTAAACTTCTAACCTCACATCTGGATGAATAAGTTTAAAGTGTACCTAAAAATCCTACAGTGCGGATTGCGACGTTTTTTATACAGATTATTTCTTGTATACACTTGTATAGTAGAAAGTACAGACAGCTTTAAATGCGCCGAATAGATAACTACAGTTTAAAATGAGTGTTTAAAATTACCGGTACTTTAAAGTACCGTCGGGACACAAAGGGTTAATCCCTTGCGACCTGTAAATAACCTTCTAAAGTATTTGATAAATAAATAAATAATTACATAAATTTTATTATAAATTAATATTAACGATTTTTCGCTGCTTAACCTCTCCTAAATTTGACAATGTTTGACATATAACCTCCATTACTAACCTAACATACATTTAAATGTATGTGGTGAAATAATCTAAGTCGTACGTCCATATCTTAATTCATACCATTTTTAAACGTCAAGTCATTACCAGCTCTCGTGGTTTCTACTATAGCAATACTATCAGCACTCACAGAATTTGTCAGTCTCATCATACCACTCTCAGACACCAACTTAGATGAGAAAACACCAGGGCCAAATTTTGGCTTACCAAAGTCATTAATCAAATTATTAACCCTACAGTGGCCATAGCATTGAGATTCCAAAAAGAAGTTATTTAGTTCATCGCCGTCAAAATTGTCAAAATTGTCAAAAATTAACTTATATTCTATGGTAATACCGGCATTCACAGAATTTCTTAATTTTTTATAATAGTTCCAGTCAGGCTGTCTTTTTTAAACCACGGGAAGAAATTACTCTCACAGAGGGAGCATATATGTCAATAGCTGAGATTAACAATTGATTTAGCAAGTTAACCTTGTCGTCAATGACATGTAGGTGATATACATCATCAAAAGGAAGTGACATGATATGATTACGTAACCTGCAGTATCCGGCCAGGAAGTGGGTGAGGAGCCTCAAGCCACTTTTTGATTTTCTCGAAAACTTTGATCCTTCTGGTCAGAGTAAAGCGGAGTTTTCTTTGCAACAACACCTAATGCAGTCTCATCCCATCTATCGCAAAAAGCTCGATGGGAGATGGAATTGATCAGCTATGATACTGTACGGTCTTAGAAGCCCATTTCGCCAGCCTGTCCATATGATTGTGTCTCTTATGTCGTTTTCGCCACTTTATCGTGACGTTGTTATAAACATTAGTCTCCTCAAGTGATTGCCGACAGGACTTCATTAACGATGATGTAGTTCGATGCCTACTAAGCGCTAGCATAACCTAGCTACTATCAGTGCAGATTACAACG